TTCTCTTTTAAACATTCCCATCTCTCCATCCCCATCACCCTTGGGTAGCATTAACAGCCTCTCAAATCTTGGAAAATTTGCTGCACCTTGGGATGTTATCAAGCCTCTTTCCTCATTGCCAACCAACTTTGTCCTTAATCTAGGTCTCACAACGGGTACTAATTGTTGATAAAGGCTTTTGGCAACCATCTTATTTGCCTTTTTCTTTTACATGGCTAATATCCTTGCTCTGTCTTGAAAAGCCTTTCTTCATGTCTGCCGAATCCTTTCAGCCTCAAGGTTCTAGTCACATACCTCCTCATTCATCAATCTTGTATAATCCCCCAAGAAGTTACACCTTTCTCCCTGTGTTCCCATAACACTGTAATTAATGCCTGTGCATGTGTATGTGTGTAGAATTACTGCATTCTGCTTAGAGGCAGTATAGAGCAGCGGTGAAGAGTACAGATTCTGGAGCCAGACTAAGAATTTGAATACAAACTCTTGTTGGGCAAGTTACTTAACCTTTTCTGTGGCTCAATTTTCTTGTCTGTAAAATGAGAACAATAATAGAACCTACCTCAGTGGGTAGTAATGAGGATTGAAGTAGTGAATGTATGTAAAGCCTATAGAACAGCGCCTGTCATATAACAAACCATATATGCTAGTTCTGATTATTTGCTTGCACTTCTTATTTCCCCTACTAGGCTGTAAGTGCCTTAAGAGCACAAGTACAAGGTAATTGCTACAGAATATTGATTGAATATAATCATATTAAATTCATATTCCTGAGAACATTTACTTAACCTCTTGTCCAGATGGAGTGAATAGAGCTTGGAACTAAATAGCAAGAAAGAACCTAAGACATCACCCAGATATGAGGCCATTGCTTCCGGCAAGGTTAGATAACTGTTCAAGGTCACAGTAAGGAGCAGAGTAAGTGCTGGAAGTTAGGGGTCCTGACTTTCAGTATGCATTATCTACACTGTAGAGTGACTGTCTTTCAGGGGACCTCAAAATTCAGTTCAGTAGGGTTCAACCAATTCTAATTCCTCTCATTTAGAATTCCTGGGTGGCTGTTAATGACCTAAACCAGGTGTAAACTGGATTTAAATCCAGTTACACCTGGACAGCTAAATAACCTTTTTAACTGTCTTCTATAATACTTCAGTTCTAATATTTTAATTGAGGTCTACACACCAAATTGCAGTACCCTGGCTTTCAATTTTTAATGTCCATACTTGACAGTGTATTACCTATGAAAAACTCATGCCACCTAGGAAAGCCCAATTTAAGAGATGAAACAGGAAAACTGAAAATACTTTTAAATTGTTATTTAATTTAGAAAGAAGAGTTTTATTATCCAAAATCACACACTAACATACTGTTTTACCAGCTACTTACTCAGAGAATCTTGTATTCAGCTCCCCCACTGAATTGCAGTCAAACCATCCTATTTCCATTCTCATTATTCTCCTAAAGTAAAATTTTCTCATTTTCTGTGTCTGACGAGCTGCGGCAATGACCCAAAAGCATATCTGGAAATGGACAAAGGAATGTTTAGCATTACAGTGTCTGAAATTTTGTTAATTTCTTCTTTTTTTCAGGAGAAAGTACTTTCAATACAACAGTTGAGAAAAGGGGGAAAGTAATTCAGAAAATGCCTCTTCTTGGGAACTAAGGTGTGAGCTCTGTCATCTGCCTGCTAAAAGTGGAGGTAAACAGAACTCTGGGCAGGGTAGCCTGAGATTTGGGTTTGAATCCAGCTCTGACCCTTAAGCAGGTCCTTGTCTTCTGGACTTTACCCTACAGAGCTTCACTTTCCTCATGTGTAAAAGAAGGCTCACAGCACCAAAAATAAGGCATTATTGTTCTTAAATAACTATTTTTTCATGCCATTTCTGAGTGAATTTCCCGCCTGAAAGACCTGCCTAGAAGCATTCATGCATAGTTTTCAGGCAATAATTTTCAAGAAATGTAAGACAAAAATTATGACATCAGCATAAATCTAATCTGCTGATAGATTTTCCCAAACTATAAAAAAAA